GGTTGGGGATTTCGTTATCCTGATATTGCAACAATATGAAAGGGTCATTCAATCCCACAAGGGTATTCGTAAGCGTTGGATGTTGCCTTGCAACAATCGTATTTCTTTGATCAATTGACGGAAGAAAATTCTGAGAGCAGGATTTGAGGCCCTTGCTTGGGCTAGTTCACGATGCAGATTGAACAAGCTGGCCATGCATCGGGGTGCCTCTGTTGACAATGATATGATTCGTGAGTCAAGGGAGATTTGAGCTAATTGGATGTGCGAATGAGTTTTGGAAGTTCACATTTTTTCCCATCTTCACAATGGTCGCAGATTAATTGTGAATTCACGATTCAGAATCACACTACGCTCGATTTGTCAAGTGAAACTTGGCAATCCGACCCCGCCGCAATAAATGTCGAAAAGGCATTCGGCTACTGCTGCTGACGGTTCGTCAGATGGAAGGAATGGAATGAAGGTGGTATTCGAAACCCGGGAATAGAAAGCCGAGAGGCCTGGGCAAAGTCACCCAAGATGCCACAACATGGAAGTGGGAAAGGATTTCATTGAAATGTATACGGAAATGCGAGAAACTTTATAGAGTGGGAGCCAAAAATATATGCTTCTATATCGATACCCTGTTGACCGTAGGTCCTGCCTTCTCATCTGAATATTGTTTCCGGGTTCAGTCATCATCGACACCTTACCGTCGGCTGAGAACGAGCGAGTGAACCCATGAAGATGCTAAGCTTTTTAGTGGGTCGAAGAGCAGCTGCACAACCGCACAAATAGCAGCACTAGCTCAGAAACAGATGGAGCTCTGAGGGAGGTTGACAGACACCAGCTTGTCCTGGCCGCTGTGGTGAGCCAACCCCTTTTTCTGGCTTCTTTTTTTTTCTGTTGGGTTGACCGGGTGCTACCTCGCCGGCTTTGATTGGCTGTGCCTCCTGCCGGATGACGATTGCACAGGAAGGCGCCCCTGAAACCAACCCAGAAACCCACGGAATGGACGAAGGGCTTTTTGGTGTGTTCGCCCAGCGCCTGCTGCGAAAAAGGGAATTCAAAAAAAGAAACCGGCCGGGTGGTTTGCTGAGGTGAGTTTCAAATTTAGTGATGCTGTGTATTTCGTCGACATCAATGGTTTCGCACACTCGGGGCAAATTGACCGGAGGGGCTGCTAACCCGGGTGTTTAGACAATGGCAAGAGATACATCTCGAGATCCGTCCGCGAAAGAAGGTCGCAGCAATCGCCCGTCGCAGAAACATTGGCATCTTTTGCCGATTTCCGTTTCCCCTCTCCGAGAGGCCTCTGCCTCTGCGCTGGTCGGTGAAGAAGAAGAATTTTCAAATGTTCCTGCATAGGCTGGTTGCCGTGTCTGCGCTGGCGATGCATGCGAACTCCACCGCCAGCTGAATCGAACGAAGTCTGGCGATGTCTCCCAATCATCGTCGACGGAAAGGACGGTTGAGCCTCGCCCGAAAAACAAACCAAGCATGGTCCCAAAAAGCAGGAACCGTTCCTGACAGAAAATGCTCGTGCCATGCCATCCACGGGCTCGCATGCAGTGCAGGCGCAGCAGCCCCAAGAAGACCACTTCGAGAGAGGCTAGTGCGAAAGAGCAAAGTGTGCGAGGGGGGCCCCAGGCAGAAAAGAGAAGAGCGACATTCATTTGGTACCTGAAGCCATATAACGGTTTCACTCCCCCCTCCTGACTCTCACGACCCCATCACCATCCCATCCACATCCAACTGCTGGACTTTCTTCTTTCGCTTCCTTCTCTTCTTGGGATTGTCACCATCCGATCCCGTTCGCTGGTGGATTTGATTTTCAATCTTGTAGCCTCCTGTGGAGCAGCATTAGCACTGTCGAGTACTTGACGTTTCTCCCCGTTCCTTTTTCCTCTGTCTCTCAGCCATTCCTTTTTATATTCTCGCTGCTTCCTAGGAAAGCCCTAACCTTCTTTCGATCTCTGACATCCCGCTGCCAGGAATCACATTCTCTTTGATCAACTCTTATTCACTCTTTTACTTGCTTTGATTTGCTTCTGCTGCCACCGCCGAGCTACTTACTCTCCCTCTCTACCGTCTGTGCCGGTGTCTTTTTCTCTTCGCCCGTCTTCAACTTCAACCTATGCAACGTTAGCGCTCCAAGCCGAAGAAAACAATTGCCCAGTCCGCTCTTTATCTGTCAAAGGTACGTTCTAGCTCTCCCTGCATTCGCTTTTCGTCTATAATAGACCTCTTTTGGGATCTGGCCTTGTGATATCGGAACATTCAGAATACCACAGTGTGGGTCATCCAGATATCGTGAAATATCTCCAACGGCATCACTTCCAGGGATTAAGAAACAAAAAAGCTCCGTTAAAACATACATCCGCTGCCAAGGCGAAACTTCAAAAGGGTCTTCCGGGTTGGTTCTTTGCCTTTTTCTAACAAGATACTCGATTCAGATTCCGTTGCAACTTCACACCAACCCAAAACCCGAGTCAATATCTTTTTGGGTATTTATCAGCTCCAATCTCCCTTGTAGCTTTGACAGCCATTCCTTTCGAATCAAATCATCATCCTACCGATTTCTCTGCGAAAGCCAGCAAGCCTGAGCATTTGTCAACTTTATTCCCTTCCGATTCACATCTTGAAGATGAAGTACTCTTGGTCCTTCGCAGCCTTTGCGCTGCTCAGCTCTGGTGTTGACGCATTCTGGCGAATGCAATGCGGTTCACCACTTCTCACCGACATGGTTGACCCACTTGTCCAACCTGGTACCGTCCCTGCCAAGCACATCCATAACATCATGGGAGGCAGCGCTTTCGATTCGACAATCTCCTTCGCCAAGCTCCAAACCTCTTCTTGCACGACCTGTGAAGTTATTGGCGACAAGTCCAGCTATTGGGTTCCGACTATGTACTTCAAGAAGTCCAGTGGCGAAATCGTTCAGGTTCCTCAAAAGGACGGTATGCTGGTTTATTATCTCCCAGAGCGTGGTGGAAACACTGTCGAAATGTTCCCAGAAGGCTTCGGCATGATGGCCGGCGACCCAACCTTCCGTGCCATGAATTCTTCAAACGCTGTCGGCTCCGAGATGTACAACAGACAGATGGCAATTGGCTTCAATTGCTTGAATTATGCTGGTACTCCAGAGGGATTCGGTCAATTGAAAACCATCCCAACTTTTGCTGACATGAAGAACTGCGCAAACGGCCTTCGCGGTGATATCACCTTCCCATCATGCTGGAACGGAGAAAATGATTCTTCTGATCATCGCTCTCACATGGCTTATCCATCTGGTATCGAAGATGGCACCTGCCCCGACACTCACAAGCGTCGTCTCATCACCATGAAGTTCGAAACTCTCTGGGATGTCGCTCAATTCTTCAGCGAACCTGATGGTGAATTCCTTTTGTCCACTGGTGATGTTACCGGTAAGTTGATGCATCCTTGAACATATTTTGTGTGTCCAGCAACTAATATCGAGAACAGGATATGGATATCATGGAGATTTCTACAACGGATGGGACTCTGCCCTCCTTCTCGCCGCCTACAAGGATCCCACCTGCGTTCCCCCAGTTACTACTGCCACTGGTGGTGTTATCACTGATTGCAACACCTTCGTCTCCCGAAACCAGATCCAATCCATGGATGATATGGACAAGTGCAAGCGATCTCAAATTTCCGATCAGACATATGCCGGCCCATTCACCAAGCTGCCTGGCTGCAACCCAATCGGAGCCGAAACTGAGGAGTGCCCCGCTGAATCCAGCACTACCTCCAATGGAAAGGCCATCCTTGCCAACGCTAAGCCAGTCTCATCATCATCGACCACTCCTGTCGCGCCACCGCCTTCGCCACCTGCGCAAAAACCAACGACCATCTCCACTACCACCAGGAAGGCCAAGCCAAAGCCAAAGCCAACTACCACTTCCAAGGTCGCCCCTCCACCTGTTTCCTCTGCTCCAGCCAACCCAGTCCTCAACGTTGAGAGCAAACCGAAGAAGGTCAAGGAAGTTATCGTTACCGTCGTCGAAACCATCTACGAAACCATCTACAGCAATGCTGTCGAGACAGCTACCACCTACGTTCCCCACCAGGCTCGTCACCGTCGCTTCCGCCGACGAAGCGCTTAAGCCTTTTCTTCTCTTCTGATCAACCCATATACAACTACGACACGGGCTTGTTATGATCGTGGATGCGATTGACTGGTTTCTTTTACATCTTTGATCTATCTTCTCTTCGACCCGGGTCGGATAACTTTTTTCTTTTCTTTTTTTCACTTCATACATGTACTCTTATTATCAACCCTTTTTCTCCTTCTGACAAAAAACCCTTGTATCAAATGTACTATTGTTCAAATCAAAACACAGCGACTGTACGATTTTGCTTTATAGCTTCTTTTGTATGTATGTAGAAAAGACAGACAGACAGACAGAGAGCTAAGGGCTAGTCGTGTATTTTACGAATCTCATTGCATTCGAGGTTGCTGAACCGTACGGTCACCTCTTGTATTAGTACATTTTTCTTTCTTTGCGTCTGGCGTTTATTTTCCTTTGTGTGGTTTTGTAAGATGTTGATAGCATTTGTATCTCGTGAATGGATACCCTTTATAAATTAAATTAGCTAGGTGTTTGAAAATATATACAAGTTGGTGTAAGCATATTTCAATAGCGTAAGCTTAGTAAAGAAAAAATCAAAGACTAAAACCAAACTCGTGATTTGATTCGATAAACGTTGAATAGATCCAGGCTAGTGTTTTATAATCGTCAATCCAATATCCGCGAAATAATAGGCATAACGAATCAGAACGGGGGACAGCAAAACAAGATTCAAAAGCCGTTTCGATATTGTTGTCGCAATGTGTTTCCCTCGCCGCGGTTTTAGAAGACGAAACCGAACCGGAATGTCTCTGTTCTTTTGATAGCAGCTTGTTTTATCTGCGGTTTTGTTGGAGAGTCGCTGTGTGGGTCTTTGGATGAATTGAGTGGGGCTTGATATTGATTGGTTTGGTGCGACCGGTATCAGATGCCTCCATAGCTTAGTGGTAGAGCGTTGCACTTGTATTTACACGGGATGCAGAGGTCACTTGTTCGATCCAGGTTGGAGGCATTTCTTTTTGCCTTTTTTTTTCTCTATACCTTGACTTTTTGTGTTGTTATAGAATATAAGCTTTTTGTTTCGTTTGTTCCTAAAACATTCCTCTTTTGTCGAGCACTGAAATGGGATAGTTTGGCAAGGGTTGATTCTGATTTTGTTGCACGTGTTGGACGACGGGGAGTCGGGATCATGGAAGGAAGCAAGGTCGACCTCCACAGATCCCGCGGTTTTGTCCGCACTGGAGCCTGGGAACGCCCTTTGTGATGGAACATGCAGCAGATGCAAGGGCTGAGAGGTTCTCTCTGCACTCGGAGAAAAAAACGAATCGGCATCGGCTGTGACAGCTTTAACCGGCCAATTATCTGATAACGGCGTGTTAATCGAGACCACTCTAGTCATGTCGACGCATGTTGCCCTTCGACATGCCGATTCCCCATCCCAGGAGACGATGCAGAAACAACGGAAAAAGTGAGCGAGCGTGTCTGCCGTGTCCCTCCTCTCTCGCTCGCTCATGCGAGGGGGTCCGAGGTACCCGAAACCCCCAAGCGAACGATTCTGCGATAGTGATATCTGCATGCATGTTAGTTAGTTGACCTGCACACTCGGAAAACACCAGATTTCCAATTGCAAAAAACTATCGAGCTGAAGTAAACACAGTATCGGCCACCTTGTGCAACCAGAGTTCTAGAACCGCTCCATCATGCACCGTCTCATCTGGGTTTTGGTTTGTAAAAAAACGTGGGTTAATGAGAATCGGACCACTCGCGACGCCACCCCATGTTGATGGCCTCAATTGGGGTGTTTCCCCAATTTCGCTTCGTCGAGAAGATCCATAATATAGGGGTTGCCGCACTGGCTCATATGTCGAAATTTCCCGCACCACCAAATATCAGAAAAAGGTAACAGAGTAGCCAGGGTTTCATATCGTTCGCATGGGATGGTTGCTGCTTCGTATGGTTTCTCTTTTCCTCTCTGGCTCTCCCACTCTCACTTGCTCTTTGGCTCCCTTCTTTTCCTCTCAGTTTCTCTAAATTACTCCCCCATCCATCCATTCAAACCTCTGCGTCTGATCTTCGATCGATCTCTTTTTATTCTTTTGCTTCGCTTCGTAGATTAAATCTATATTAATTTTTCATTTCTTTGTTTTATTTTATTTTTGATTTCGGTTTTTTTTTCGTTTGTTGCAGCATTCGTCGGGTCCGGTGCGGTCGAGTTATGTCAAAGAGTAGTTGACGACATATCTGGTAGATTTTGTTTCGTGGGAGGAATTAAATCTATCTATTGAGATATATATTCCGCGAGAAACCGTTCGAAAAAATGTCCACTACTCCCTCGTTACCGATTCTCACAAAATGGCCATGCGCTGTACGTTGAACCTTCCTTTAGCCGGCCGTTGAAGTTTTAGATCTACAACGGTTTTTGGTTTTAGTGAATAATGCTAACGAAATAATTCTAGGCTACCTGCATCACCGCCTATGATGGCTTTTGTGAAAGATTTACATATACTGGTATATGGCCGGCAACAGCGCAATGCCTGTTGTCCTCTTGCAGCGATCAGGATCGTTTAGGTACGGATATATCCTTTTTAATGCATAACATTATCATCGTCATTCAAGTAATGTATACTAACGATCTCTTTTTTGTATATAGCACTTCAAGAAACCGTATCAAAATATTGCGATGCGGTCGGATACCCCGACGTCTGGGGACCGTACATGTGGGGCGCACCAGTTGCGTCGAGTTCATCAAATTCGCCGTCATCCGCCGCCACTTCTACTAAGGGAAGCGTGACTTCTAGCGCTGCACCTACGACATCACCTTCCAGCACTGCGATTCCCACGACATTCGCGACAGTTCCAACCGCAAACACCCTCGCACAAGCTGGTGTATCATCCACCTCCCTCCCGACAGCGACGACAGTGGCAGCATCTTCGGATAACCAAGGGTCGACAAAGTCTTCGGGCGTATCAGTTGGTGCGAAAGCGGGAATTGGGATCGGAATCGCGATTGGGTTTCTTTTGATCATTTCGGTCATCTTGTTTTTCTTACGGTGGAGGAAGAAGCAACTGGCCGCCAACTTCCCGGAGGGACCGGATCATTTCGCAACACCGACTGCTAGTCCTAGGGAGAAGGAATTCGGGAACGATGATGTGATTATTTATACCATCGAAGGGGGAACGTTGAAGAAGAAGAATGAAAAGCGGTTGAGCATCAAGGTTATTTAAGTTACATTTACCCATTTCGGGAAGGACTCAAGGAGGAAAAGACTGGACGAGTTATTGTGGGCATGCGGATTATATTGATATCTATCGATATACACGGCAGTAGGATATAGCATTTTGGATTTCGGAATTATTTTTCATTCGATATTTTGGCACTTTAGCGGACACTCTCATATCACTTTTTCATTTTTCGTTTTCATCTTTTTTTCCTAAAAATTATTTCCTTATATTTCCTTGTAGTTTCTCTTTTTTTTTCTTTTCGTTTCTTTTGTTTGATTAAACCGGTGATATTATTCTTTTTCTTAATTTATTATTAATAAAATAAATCGAGGGGCACGAGTTTGGGTTTCAAAATATTATCACGACATCTAAAACTTGGCGAGGCTGGTGAGTGGTGGATTGACTGAATATTACATTGGAGGGTATATCATATCATATGTTCTGATGTCATAATACTCATCGCGTCCGGACCCGCCCAGCCTTATCGCCGCCTGTTGACTGCTATTGAAAGGATCTAGCTACCTAGAATCCCACCGAACGCGACCCTCACACCAATCATCTGTTTAGTCCTCTCAATCGTCTCTGTCGGGGCGTCTCCGTTCGTCCAGATGAAAGATTGCGCTTGTGGTACCACAAGGGTAGCTCTGTTGCTCAGTGCAGTGGTGGGGCGCTCGCATCGCCAAAAGCCCGATAAAACCGTGCTGAAAACAGAGCTCGCGAATCCTGCGGACCTTACTCTTTCGGCAGAATCGGAGACAGGCGATCTGAAAGGAACGGAAGGCTCACAGCTCGACATCACGACGGTGGAAAAGAAGCTGGAAGGGAAAGGAAAGATATGGAATGACACGGTCCGAGCTAGTATATAATAATAATTGACCAAGACCTCTGTTGCCGACTAGTCCTCCTCTTTTGTACTCTTCTCTCAACTCCCTTGGCAACAATTTGCGCGATTCATAGATTCAAACTCAAACCTAGAAACATTCCACTACTGGAGCTTAGTATACATAATATAATATACTAGCCATAATGGCAGCAACCTCAACCCCGGCAGCATTGCCCGAAGGCATCTTTTCCATCCTGGACACAGATCTCTACAAGCTGACCATGCAATGCGCCGTTCTAAAACATTACCCGGACACCAGTTCGTCCCACCACCACCACCACCCCACTACGTCATATCTTTGAGTGGATATCAGATTACTAACTACACCGAATCCCTAGATGTCACGTACCACTACACGAACCGAACACCACATCTCAAACTCAACCGCAAAGCATACGACTGGCTCGTCGTTCAGATTGATAGTACGCGTTACCCCCTTGCGATACAAATAACATATACTGATCACTGTACGATACCTATCAGAGCTAGCAAATATCACCCTAACGGACGCGGAGATTGAATTTCTACGCGATAGATGTTCCTACCTCTCCCCGACATACCTCGCATACCTCCAGAAATTCAGATTCTATCCGTCCTCGCAGGTTGAAATCTCTTTCGAGGGTGAGAGCGAGGAAGGAGATGTGGGAGAGGTGACGTTGGATGTTAAGGGCAAGTGGGTGGAGACTATACTCTACGAGATACCATTGTTGGTGTTGGTCAGTGAGGCCTACTTTCGGTTCGTAGATACGGATTGGGATTACGATGGGCAATTTGGTTCGTACTTTATTTCTATCTTAGGATTCGAGTTATGGGAGGATCGAGAGGTGCTGATTTGTTGGTTATAGAAAGAGCGTATGGAAAGGCGGAGGTATTGTTGAAGAACGGAGCGGCGTTTACAGAGTTTGGAACACGACGGAGGAGGAGTTACCACGCTCAGGATCTTGTGATGCAAGGGTTGATCAAGGCTGGTGAGGATTTCAATGGGAATCCGGAATATACTGGCAAATTCAACAGTTCCAGTAATGTTCACTTTTGCCATCGGTGAGTCTTTCATCTTATACCTTCTATAAAGAATGAATGCAGGTGTTGATACATTGTTGCGTTATTAGACACAACTTGAACCCCGTCGGAACAGTCGCACACGAATGGTTCATGGGTATCGCCGCCGAAAATAATCGCTACGAAGACGCCAGCGAGCAGGGATTGTTCAAGTGGACCGATACATTTGGCCCCGGCGTCCTCGGTATCGCACTGACTGATACTTTTGGCACCGAGGAGTTCCTGCGAGCGTTCGCCAAACCTTGCCCGCACCCCGCTGCCGAAGGGAAGCCGTACGCTAGTATATTTTCAGGTATTAGACAGGACTCTGGCGATCCGGAGGTATATGTCAAGCGGATCAGGGAGTTTTATGACAATTTGGGGATTCAGGAGAAGACGGTGGTGTTTAGTGATTCGTTGAATACGGAGCTGGTGTTGAAGTATAAAGCTTGTGCAGAGCGGAATGGACTGATTCCGTCGTTTGGGATTGGAACCTACCTTACCAGTACGTCATATTTTGGCACCTCACATCAATTACTGGATATGATGCTAACGATTCGTAGATGATTTCAATCATAAGAAAGATGGTTCAAAGTCGACGCCGTTGAATATTGTCATCAAGCTTTCGTCTGCGCAGGGGAATGCGGCAGTGAAGATTAGTGATAATATCGGGAAGAATACGGGGGACAAAGCGACGGTAGAGATGGTGAAGGAGCGATTGGGGTATACTGAAAGTGGCAAGGTGGTTGATGAAGGAAAGAGGTGGGGCTAATTGGGTCTATGGAGTTTATTGTAGTTTTTTTCTTTGATTTTAGAGATACCCTGGTACTTTGAGGGTTGCTTTAGAAGGGCGGTAGACGTAGACGCAT